ATTTCCCCCTTTTCCTAAAAAAAAATTTAAATAGTTCAAAATTTAAGATTTTTTTCTAATTTAAAGGGATTGTTCGTGAAACATTAGTTCGATTTTGAATCTAATTAAAACTTAGTCTATAAATCCCCTTTTCTCACGCACATCCCCTTCAATGGGCAAATTTAAAGTTGATTTTTGAAATGAATGATGGGAGATTGTGTGATACTTTTTGGAATTTGAATTTCATAATGCTTTTTAGTTTTAAAAATAATTTACGTTGGGTTGAATTACAATTTTAATTGGTAGAAAATATATCAGTTTACTTTAAATTTTATTATTTGCAGAGCTGACGGTAACTCTAGGAGGCAGAGAAATTACTACGCATTTTATCCAACCTTCGCAACAGGTACTTTTAAAACAGATAATTACTTGAGCAGATCCGATTCACAACGTACATATTAAATTTTTGACCGAGCAAACATTATTGAATTATATATCCTTAAGTTTACATTCTTAATTTATTTGATTTGGTTTATTATTATTATGTTATTATTATTATTATTTAATTCACAACGGTACCATTGTTGTAAAAAATAAATGTTTTTTTAGGTTCTCACTGTAACGAGTTATTCAACACAAACAGTTTCGTTCTCCCCCAATACACAGGTATTTAAAACATTAACCCTTTTTTGGTTGGAACCTTTTGTGTCTAGAATAAGATGAGGGAGGGGGATCGGACTCCCCCAACACCAATATTATCCCTTTCTTAGTTGGAACATTCGTAGGGAGAGGGGGGGTTGTCTCCCCAATTACACAGAAATTTAAAAAAAAATCATTCGGTGTGTGTTGGGGGGCCAGGCCGGGGGTGCCTAAAAACAAGTATTTTTAGCATTAATCATTTCCTGGTTGGAACATTTGTATAGAGAGGGGGGGGGATAGAGTTAAGATAAGTGAGTGCCATATTTTATAGCTGGAAATATTTTAGAACTGCTCATTTATGAAAATTATAGACCTTTAATAAACTTCATCAAAGACTAGTTTGAGAACCAATTGTTGCCCTGGGTACTTAATGGTTATTCCCGTCGTTTACCCCAGCTTGGTCGTAAATCACGATTTTTGCTATTTTTCTCCACTTTACTCAATTCAGAATCTCAAAACTAAGCTAAGAACATTAATTAACACATATTACGCATTTACCGCACAGTTAAAGTTTAATGTTCGTATTTATAAGATTAGCGAGAATAGATATAACGCAGTTTAGCTATCTCCACATATGTTTTTAGCGTAATTAAGTAATTTAATCTAATCATGCTACGTATTCAATTGATATGCAGTTTCAATGCATAATGTCACTATATATAGGTCAACAACATAAATTGTTAATAATGTGCAACGTACTGCAGGTTTACAGAATATCATGTTTACACAATATTTGCTACATATAGACGTAGATTAAAGCTTCTTGGTGGAGCAAACAAAATCACAGGTCTTGTTAAATGCGGAACCACAATACCAGAGTTACCAGTTGGGCAAATAAAACCCAATCTAATAAACATGATTTTGAGAAAAACACAACATATAATCAGTTCTTTTGTTTAATGAAATTAGGAACTTATTTTAGAAATGCGTACAACGACAGAAAATAAATAGAAAAAAAGGACATTGGTGTGCAAATTTTAAAATCAGGGAAGTTCTGGGAATCATTGATTCCATGCAATGATATTTTTTAATTTCGGAATTGAATAAAAAAATTAGTTAATTAAAACATTTTCAAAATATGCTGTTAGTTTCTAATTGTTAAAAGTGTGGTAATCCTAAAGGTCGATCCAAAGCCTAAGCTCAGCCAATAAGAGTTCAACATTCAAAGACACGTGTACGGGGTCTGAAGGCTCTGCCTGATTTAGGTGAAACAGGATTGATACAGCTATAACTTAATTCTACGTGGGATTAACCATTTAAAATTTAGATCTATACTTTTTCTTTAATTCCAGAGTTTACATTGTTAAGTTTTCTTGGAAACGGGTAAAATGTTTGTTTTCCTAGATCAATATTGGAAAATTGATCTAAATTCTTTCTAACTATAAATATTTGTAAGTAAAAAAATGTGGGTCTGATAAATATAATATTAAATTATATCATATATTGTAGGTACAACCTAATCTGAACCAGCTAAGCCTTCTGCAAGCTATTCTTCAGCTAAATAGACTTGGAGCTCATCTTCCTGCATAGATGGTGACGTCTGCTGATTTTGACTAATAGTCACGATTGTTTAAAACAAATAGGGTTTCCAATCGTAATTCCGTTGCGCGGAATCGCAACTGTTCACAATTGCGCGGAGTTTACAGGGCTTGCAATTGCGGCAAGTAAAATCCACTTGCGTTGGAAACCAAAAGGTGGCAACATAGAAACGGGTTCAATTTTACACGACGTCACAAGTGTCAAATATAACAAGAAAAACCAAATTTTCTCACTTTAGTTGACATTTTTTCCAAGATTAAATAAAAATATGTAAAAACAGAAAACAAAGAACTCAAAAGCTTTAATCTAAAATTATCACTTTTATTAATAATTTTGTCTGACACAAAAACTAAGTTGACACTTGTGACGTAAGAATACAGCTGTAATATTGTACTCGAATCTATTTGGTTCAAAGCCAAGAACTCTTAAATAAATCAGTATTTTTGAACTGTTCAGTGTTAATCTAAATAAACAAATGAACAGATATGTGTACAAATTATAATAAAATGTTTCTTTAATTAAAACCATTTTTAATTATAGTTTTCGTTTTTTTTTTGAAAAGCTCCACATAATTTCAAGTTTTTTTTTATTTTAAAATTTGAATTTTCTATTTTGTATTTCCATTGAATTTTTAAACCTTGACAGTTCTTTAAAAATATCATCATCATGACCCATGACAAAGAAGATCGAAAAAATGCAAAAATGGTGGTTAAATTTTTGACATTTTTTACGATTATTCAAATAATATTTTCAAATCATTTTGGTAGTTTTCAAAAAAAAATTATGTCAAATTAGGGCATTAATAATTTTTCTTCTAAAAACTTAAATTGTTAAATATATTTTTGAACTTGATGTTTAAATATCAGTAATTTTCTTCATGTTTGTATATGAAGACACATTTGTATTGTTTGCTATTGGTATTATTGTTAAAAATTATTCTTCATAGGATTTAAGCAATTATTGTTACACTACTATCTAAAAAAGTTCTATATGTTATAATGTTCTATATGTTTGTAAGTTTGTTTTCTAACTTTTTGTTAGATCGACTTAAACAAAAACATTGGAAACATATTGCAGATTAATTTTTTATTGTAAATTTTAAAGTTTATGTCTGTGAATTTTGTTAATTAAATATATAGACTGATTACTTTGTTGTTTTGTTTAGAGGGACTGTTATGCATAACAACGTGTGACCCTTCATCTGTAGACCTAATTCACAACGGTACCAATTAAACCTTTATCTGTAGACCAAATTCACAACGGTACCAAGTAAACCTATATCTGTAGACCTAATTCACAACGGTACCAATTAAACCTTTATCTGTAGACCTAATTCACAACGGTACCAATTAAACCTTTATCTGTAAACCTGATTCACAACGGTACCAATTAAACCTTTATCTGTAGACCTAATTCACAACGGTACCACGTAAACCTTTAACTGTAGACCTAATTCACAACGGTACCAATTAAACCTATATCTGTAGACCTAATTCACAACGGTACCAAGTAAACCTTTATCTGTAGACCTAATTCACAACGGTACCAAGTAAACCTTTTTCTGTAGACCTAATTCACAACGGTACCAAGTAAACCTTTAACTGTAGACCTAATTCACAACGGTACCAAGTAAACCTTTATCTGTAGACCTAATTCACAACGGTACCAATTAAACCTTTATCTGTAGACCTAATTCACAACGGTACCAATTAAACCTTTATCTGTAAACCTAATTCACAACTATACCAATTAAACCTTTATCTGCGTAACAATAAAGAAGATATTTCGTCGTTTTATCTTGAATATAAAAAATTTCTTCAGAAACCCGTGATTAACCGCAATTAAAGATGATAAATTTTCAGACAAAAATACAATTATTTCCATCCTTTTTTGTTTTGTAGATGATAGATTAAAGGGGGTACCGTCATAAAAGGAGGCTCATGTGTCTCTTAAAATGGAGGGTAACTTAAAAAAGTCGAAAAATGTGAGAGTGTCAATCTTTCGTCTTTTCTTTAAAAATGCGAATGGTTAATCTTTTCCAATGAATGCATGTATATATATAAAATGAAATATTCCATGATAATGATGAAAAAAACGTTTTGTAAATTCCAAAAACAAAAAGGAAAATTTCAAACTTATGAAAAAGGTAATTTCAAGTAATCCCCGTTCAATGATAAATTCTGACGAGTTGTTTGATGCCAAAAAAGATTAAAAATAAATATTTTATGGCAAACATAAAGGTGATTTTAATTAAAAATTTATTTCAGTAAAAGATTTGCTTAACGAAATAAACTGTAAAAGTCTGCAATACCTATAAAGCTTACATAAAGATACTAGGCTTTTAGGGCGCTTTGCGCCCATCTTCTATTTCAATTGTGAACATGTTCTCTTTGTGTACACTGTAAAACAAAACAAAAAAGTGTTCACGGATTTCATAAAAATTTCGTGAAAATTTAATGAAAATCGAATTTTGTTCGTGGAAAATTTTTAAAAAATCGATCATGCATAAATCTTCCGTGGGGTCACGTGAAGTGCCACCAAAAAATGTTGAGCCCGATCGGTTCAGCTGTTTTGTCGTTTATTGGATACAAACGTACAGGCACCCAAACAAACAAACAAACAAACAAACACCCAGACAAGCAAAGTATATATATATAAAAGTTTACATGGAAAAAGACATTTAAAACTATTCGCCGCGGCAACATTCTTGTTTCCCGATTTTTATCCGATGTAAACAATTTTTTTGGAAAGAACAAAAAACTGATATTTAAATAAAAAATAAAGAGGCAAGGCAAGGATTTATTGGCGTAAAGTAACACAAATCAATTAATTATATTCTGAGAGCCGGGGGTAGAATCATCTCTATTCAAAACCTAAAATAAAGAAAATATATTTTTTTATTACGGATTACTTCAACCATATTTAATAACTGTATCATAGAGCATCCTGTTAACACAATTAGCATTAAACACTAAGCTAGTCTTAGGAACCTAAAAAATTACAAAGATATTGAGTAATCTGTCTAGAGCTGAGCTGAAAACTTTAGAATGGTGGATATCGGGATTAATGCTTGATCTTGTCTTTTTCTTAATCTCCAGATTAAATAATGCTCGTTCTCCTCTTGTTATTAATCTCCAGATTAATTAACCGATCGGGATTAAGGATATCCCATTCTAAAGTTTCCAGCTCTGATTAGATATTGGATATCGAGATCAATGTTTGATCTTCTCTTAAAATTATTTTAATCTTACATTAATATCCTGGAAAGTATCTAAACTGCAACCAATCTAGTGTAAAATATCTAAACTAAACCACCAATCAGAAGCGAGAAATTTGGAAATTTTACGCGTGATTAATGAGATAACTTCCATTGGTTGGAATCCAGGAGGATATCCAGAAGTGAGGAATAAGAAGAAAATTAAAAGTGTTCACAATCGAAACATAGATTTAGCAATCGGGAATAAAGGATATCCATAATCCAATACAAGAGTTTTCAGAGCTGAAAGCTTTAGAACGTGATATCCTAAATCACGATCGGTTAATTAATCTGAAGATAAATAACAAGAGGAGAACAAGCATTATTTAATCTGGAGATGAAGAAAAAGAGTAGATCAAGCATTAATCCCGATATCCACCATTCAATTATATACTCAGTTTAGATTCAGATAATTATAAATAACAACAAAAATGTTTAAATGTCATTTTGTAACTTTCGGAAAAACCTATTTTATAATAACTGGCATTTTTACCTGTAAATGGTTTATGCCTTTCTGTAATAGGCATTCAGAAATCTCTCCTAAAAAGTTCTTTTATTATAGACATTGATTTTTCCATGACAGTATAAACAAACTAATTCCATATTTTGAATATTTTTTTGAGAATTTTACGAAATGTTTAACGGGGTGATTTGTTTTAAGGACAAATAATTCTTTTAAATATATTTTCCAAATAATTAGTAGTTTAAAGGCTTTTCGAGATAATGTTAAACCACTGCTCGAATTCGACATATTAATACAGTATTCAATCCTATAACACCTTTTAATCCCTCTCCCCGCCTGTAAATAAGCATTGAGAATTTAGGATACTAACTATTACCAAGTTTTGAAGAGATCTCATGTCGTCAACTCCTCTCTTCCCAAACCTAGGAGGATGATATCACAGTTATAATAAATACACTGCTAGCTTGTCATGATGAAGATGGCTTAATAGAACAAAATTATCCAGGGATTAAAGGCAGAATTTAAAGAATTTGAGCCGAGTCTCAAATTTAAGACATGGCTCAAATATAGTTAGTTCCACTTGACATTGTATTCAGTGATTTGAGAAGGCGATTAATTGAAACCGGTTTTGGGTGGTTCAGTGACGCGGTTTAAATTCTTTTAATTCTGCCTCAGATTTAGTGAATAGCTGCTTGAGAAGTACATCAGAACCCGAAAACTCTGAAATTTTAAAGAAAGATGACTCTTAGACTCAAGTTGTGACTTTAAAGCACAAGAAACAGCAAGGGTGCAATGAAAACAGACCCATTTCACTTAATAAGTGATTAAATAAGTGTCTTGTAAAACTATTTGCTTTGTAACATCCTCAAATACACTTCAGTATTGCAATACAGTCGTCTTTCCATTTCATAGTTTTCTGGTTATCACTGTAGTTAAACTACATAAACGTGGTTTAATTTAGTTTAAGTGGTTCAACTACTATTTTTTTTGTTTACACAATTTTGCTTAAATCATCATGACGTGTTAGCTCGATAATTATAAGAATAAAATCATGCCACTAAAAGAGAATAACAGCCTTTTAATTGTGTGCAAAAAAATGCATAGCATATACACATTTTTTTACCAGTTAAGTTTTTTTTGGAAAATTTAAAAATTGTTTCTTTGTCAAAAAAGCTGTTTTCTCATCTTTTATTTATACTACGTACGTAATAAAGAAGCATCTGGCAAAAGTGATTGAAGATAAAAGTAAAAATAGAAAATCTAATATATACAACTCTACCAATATAAAATTCTTATGTCTATATACATAAAAATCATTATTGTAAAAACTTATTATAATTATTATTCCAGCTAAATATAGTTTATCTATGAAAAAAATAAGGTGATTGTTTTAAAGATGAGAATGTGTAAAATTAGTAATTTAGGAAAATAAACATACTAATCTTTCGTTTTTATAATTCTAGCCCACTTAGAGCGAAAAGGTTTATGTATGAAAAAAAAACATTTTTTGAACCTTTCAATTGTGCTTAAAAAAGGGCCTTTTACACAAAGAAAAAAATTAATTACGAAAAATACAAAAAACATTTATTGCTTTCGAAGCTGTCAACATCCCCTGCACTCTGAAGTGATTTTTCTTCCTCAAAAACCTTGTTAAAAAAACGGTTATCAACAAATGAACTTGGATCAGTATGGGCTGAAAAAAAAACAAAAAAACACGTCAAACACCGTTTTAAAAAAAATATTTTGAAATAAAAAATCACCATACGGTTTCTGGGCGAAAAAAAAATTCCCTATAAGTTTTTGATATTTTTCAAAATAACAAAAAAATACAATAAGTTGTTTAAGATTAAACCTCTCTTTTTTAAAAACATGGAAAATAAAGCTGAAATAACATAACGTTTTCTCATGTTGACATCAGTGTCTTAATGAAATATAATGAAATATAATGAAAATTTTAAAAATCAATGAGTAACTAATTGTTTCGAAATTCAAGAATGAAAAAAAGTCTAATCAAAAGTATTTTTTCGAGGTGAGGAGATAAAAAGTGTGCAGTCCATAGTTGAAAGAATTTATAAGGTCAGGGGGAATTTCGGTTTATTGTCATAGAAAGAAAATTTAAGAATGAACAATTTAAATTTTTCAGATTTTTGTGGAACCCTTTAAAAGTTTAAAAACCTAACAAAGGTTTTGTCCTTCACTACTTGTGATAACTAATTAGTTTATTTTTAGAACACAAAATAGATTTTAAATGTCCTAAAATCTCTTAAGTTTTAAATGTTTTTATTCACTTTAGAGCATTCCCCTCAAAAAGAATTTAAATTTACTATTTATAACTCTTAGAGTCTTTAGAATCTGTCTCCTTTCAACGAAGTTTTCTCAGAGTTATCAATACTAAAAATTAGGAATTAAAACTTCTAAAAAGCTTATTAAAAAATAGAATAATTCAGTTGAAAGTTGATCAAAATATTTACAGAGCCGGGAACCCATGCACAATCCCGATTGGTTGATCTCGATATCCACTGTGGGCTCTTTTGAATTTTACATAGAATCTGCGTGATCTCTTGATTTTATATATTTCTTGACTTCTGATTGGCTGATTGTTTTCTGCAATTCACTGGGTACATCAAATAAAGAATTAATTAATCTGTAGAGTAACAAAAGATCGAGATCAAGCAATGAGCTTGATTTCAACAATACAAGATCTCTGATCTCAGCTTTTTTTTGTACGGTGGTAGGCGATTATATCAATATAATGAATACAACTTTCGTTTTTATTTTGATTCATATTAAGCTTTTAAACGGAATGAAAACACAAAAACATGGAAAAAAAGATGCACTGTCAATTAAAAAAGGCTTCTCTTTAATTGCTTGTAATTTGAAGAAGATTGTTAAAAGTCGTCTTAATTATATTGATATAATCGCCTACCACCGTACAAAATCTGCATGGCAAATATTAGTTGCCCGAACGACTAAATGTAAAATTTTTGCCATCGGATCTCTGTGGATTCCTTATATTTAAACCAATTCCAACCAACAACTGTGATTTTCTTGTGTAATAATGAAATATAATTTGTACAAGGTGCATGAACTATTTTGTACATGTGCTCCATTCTCATCTGATGCATGATGTGCAATCTGTGCTGCGCACACTGTGTTCACTTTAATAGTGTACACTGTGAACTACCTTGGCCGAGCCCGGCTTGATAGGCTTGAACCGATCAAACTTAGATCACCTACCGATTTCTTAATCGTTTCAAAACCACTAAAAATTCATAAAATATTTACTTTGAAAATGCCACTATTTAATTAATTGAGATCAAAATTTCTTTTTTTTTTTAAATTTATATTTATTGGCCTATTACTGTTACCCAAAAATATTTAAAATAACAGATAGGACAATAGATGTCGTTTTTTCAAGATTTGGATGAAACTCGTTCACAATATCCCTGAAGCAGAAGCCCAAAGGAGTTTCGCGCAGTGAGCATAGATTTATAATATAATATAATATAGAATTATAGGACAGAGAGAGCCTGTTCTATGCCGACTGCGCAAAATTTCTTTGGGCTTCTGCCTTAGTGTTATTGTGAACGAGTTTCATCCAAATCTTGAAAAGACGACATCTAGTGCCCTTTCTGTTATTTTAGATTATCTATGCTATTACCAGTCTAAACTATATATAATTTGAGAGGGGCTGCTTAGCACCAAACCTTGTTATCTGTCCAGAGGAAACATTACAAATTAGAAATTGTAATGTGGAATTTAGTTACTCTCCTACTGAGTTCTAAGATTTGAATTTCATACTAACACTTTTTGGATAAGAGAAAACTTAAGTATTCTTCTTTTTAAGACATTGAGCAAGCATCTTTTCATTAATCAAATTCTTCTTTATAAATTATTGTTACTTTTTTTACCTTAAAATTGCAGAAAATAAAATAAAATTTGTTATGCCTTAAATGTTTTTAAACGTCATGCCGATTTCAAATTTTCCCCTTGGTTTTGTTAAATTATAGAATTTTATGCATTTTGATGATTTTTCCTGTTTTGACATTTTGAATGATGTCTAAAAAATTTCAAGGTCTAAAAAACTGTTAATTGATGGCTCATTAATGGCACTGTTAACAATTTAAAAATATTTGCCGTTAACGCTGCTAATAATATCAAGATCATCAACATAACGGTATAGCTTAAACAAATTTAAATACCATCAATTGAAACAACCGTTCTGTTTTTAGCTAAAATACTAATGGCTATCTGAGAAAAATAACTATTGACGAACGACTAGCAAAAAGTCAGAACGTTCCCATCCCTAGTCAGGGGCACATTTCAGCAGAAATTATCAGTTTTTAGAAGCTTTAAAATTGCCTTTTAATGGCTTCTAAAACATGCCTTTGCAATTTTAGAATTAGACTTCTTTAGTTTAATTTAGATTGTCTATAATTTTCATAATAAAGCTTCAACATACTGCAAAATTTTGTGATTTAAATGTTATAAGTCTTTTAAAAATGTTAGTTTTAATCTACTAATAAATGCTCTGCCAACCTTCTACAGCAGCTCAGGCTAAATAGCGTCTTATTTCTAACCCAACACTTTTCCAGGCTAGCTGGACAGGTTAGAAACTGCCATGACGTCATTATAGATCTGATGGGAGCAATCTTTACTTGTCCTTTTTTACCTTTTATCCTCTCCATTTCATTTTCCCACCTAAATTCCTTTTTAAGTTTCTTTGATTTTTTAATTCTAGCAAATTGTTTAAATAAGTGTATTGAAAAGTGAAATGTAACTGACAATCAATTTTTATTTGAGAGCAAATTGTTTAGAAAACAGCTGAATAAAATTCAGTTAAAAACTTAGCGACAACCTTTTTTACCTGGGCCTGACTTGTTCGCTATAGAAACTGTCCAATTCTGCCAGATACTTTATAGCATCAGCCATAGCTCCCTCCTAAAGAGTAACATATGTGTTTAATGTGGTATAGGCAATCAACAAATGATTTGATCTATCAGTCTCACATGAGATTTGTCAAATGTGCCGTAAGAATTGTTAAATAGCGTTTGCTATGACCCAAATGCATTGACAGCAGCGCAACGGTAATACAATACCTTGTCACTATTTAAAGCAGTTTTGTGTCGGATGACAAGGCTGAAGAGTTTTCAGAATGATGTAAGTTGATGTGAGACAGGTTAGATATATATTTAGGGGCTGGTTCAGAAGCAAGTCAGCTTATTAACATATCCATAGGCAAGTCAGCTTCTTACTTGTGTGAAGGCAAGTCATATTGTTACACAAGTCAGGTATTCAGTTTCTTACTTATTGGTGGCAAGTCATATTGTTACCTATTCGAAGACAAATTGTTCGGCTTCTTACTCATTCGCAGGCAAGTCAGATTCTTACCTGACACCTGTGCGGAGGTAAGTCAGATTCTCACCAGCTTTTTATAAATTTAGAGGGAATTCAGCATCATTACCTGTTCGGAGGCAGGTCTAGCTGCAGCAAGCTGACAGATGAGTAAAAGAGCTAGAGATAGAACAGCAATCATTACCTAAACAGTTATATAAATATCAGCACCTTCTCACAACTGCACTATAGTTTTCATTCTTGGTATCAATTAATATAGATTCGTATCTATCAAGATCAATTTGCATTGAGAAAGTCATTTTATCAATAAATTGAAAGTTTTTTGTTGACCATTGCGCAAGCCTTCTTAATTGTTTGGATATATTACAAAAAGACAGCTGACCAATAGGACAACACACAAATAGGCTAGGTTAGCCAAGCACCTTATTTAAACTTTGTAAATAGACTAGGATTTCCAGCGAAAATTTCGCATTTTTAGCGAAAAAAATTTTTGGCGACCATTTCGCTTCATTTTCGCATTTCGCTCGCTCGCGAAAAATCCGAAAAAATGCGAAAATTTCGCAAAAAAAATAATGGGAAAATATCACGAAAGAAATGGAAATTATGCAAAAAAGACGAAAGTTTCACGAAAGGTACATTTTTAAAAACAAGTGCAAAGTTTTAGCGAAATAGTTGCGAAAATTCATCAAAAAAGACTAAATTTTGAAAATACGAGTCTCATTTTCAAAGAGAAATTTATCCGCGAGCACAATTGATGGATTCAAACAAAATATAAATATAGATTTTAGAACGACTTGGAGACATCAGACAATTCATAGATTTGCTTGAAAACACTTTCTCGACCGTTAAGATCTTTCTTCTTAAAACACAAAATAATATCTACTACGGGAAGAACCAAAATAATTCGGACACTTAAAAATATATCTATTCTTCAAATATTGAGCTATCAGAGCAGAGAATTCCACAAGTTCTTTAGAGTAATTAATTTTTTGTAGCTATAAAACTTACTGTTTTCATCAAACTTTCGCATTTTCGCAAAATTTTTTTTTGCTAATTTGTTTTCTCACGAAATTCTGCTTCGTTTTTGCTTCATTTATTTTCGCGAAAAAATGCGAAATTTCGCAAAAAATTTTGAGAAATGCGACCGAAACGTTTCGTTCGCTCAAAACCCAAAAAAAGACTAGCTTAGCCAAACATCTTATTTATACTTTATACATTCTAACAAAGTTTTCAGTGAATCAAAATGTCTTTCGTCATTGTTTTTTTTTGCAGTCCACATGCATTCTTAAAACCTTTTATATCCCAGCAAAAAAGGCCCTCAATGCTTAACTTTGATCAGCAAAAGAGTCATTTATAAATAAGTTTTATAGAAGATTACCATTTTGTTTAGTTGTAAATTTAACACTGTTTTAATACAACACTTATAATTGAAAACATTGTGCACAAACTAAGTTTTATGATCCGTATCATATTTGGATTTATATTATATTTGGTCAATATAAAAATAAAATTGTGATACTACGAGGGATTGTAAATAGAAAATTAATGAACCTGTTCTATACAAAATCTCTTTATTTGAAATGAAGTGTAAAATGTATGGCGCCTACAAAATCTACTCTGTAACATATTTGTTCTTTATCTAATTGTCATTTACTCTGTGACCCCTAACCACAGACTACACAGACTGCTCATACACTCTCCCTGGATAGGCTGAGTAGGCCTATAGTGTCCCGGCACGCCATGCTACGGTTCCATGTAATTTTTTTTTGACTGACATCTCACGGCCACTTGTTGCATTCAAAGAAATACTCAAACATAAAGTTTATTTTTTCCATTTCCTATTCAAAGGATCCTTAAATATCCTTGAATACAGATGTCTCCTGATTGGTCGTGTACAGTACTTTTACAATAGAACATGCTGTGGAAAATATAGCATATTATAGGTGTTAATCGATCTCTGTAACTCTCTTATCTCTGACCCCAAACATACTTCAGTCTGTGAGCTCGATCCCTTGGTCTTTTATGGCCTTGGCGCTTGACTCTTTAATAGACTTCATCACTGAACCACCAGATCATAAGTCACATTTTAAATTCTAAATTTTTTAATTACAATAAAAACAAACTTGAAATTTGCTAAAGTTTGCAGATTTTTGTGCAACCACAAAAAAATCCGAGCAATCTTAAATTTTCAACAAAAAATGGCTGAACATTGAAAACAAGATTCTAAATTTTTATAATTTGTTCCACTTAATCTTCATTAGAAGTAAATATTTCCATTTACTACATAGCACCGATTTAAGGATTCATCTCTAATTGGATAATGAGATAGATAAATGCAATTTCTATTGGTTCAGAATATACACCAAGCAAATGACTGAACCCAGATTGGATCAGACGCTAAGGCGTACAGTGTTAGATTTAATAAAAAATAATTGATTGAGAAATATAGAATTTTTTATTGTTTAATCTTACGTTAATCTTTTATAATAGTCTATATTTCTGTATGAATACTGCACATTCTGCTCTACCAGTCGGACTGGTACTACAAATAAATTTTAAATTTTCAGTGATCTTTCAATACCCCTTTGGATCTAAAAACATTGTGTTAAGATCATTATAAAGAACCCATCAAAGCTATAAGTACATTTTTTACTTTTTCAGCAGAGTTTAGATATATTTATATATTTCAATAATTTTTGAAAACAATATTTTTTCTATGAATAACCCATTTTGTTCGTTTTTAAAATAATTTTTCAAAATAAATTAGTTTTTAATCGTTCACTTTTTTCTCGTTTGTTTTTAAAAAACGATAGGTTTTTATAATATCGCTGAACGATCCAAATCGTTGGTCCATTATTCATGAACGATTTTGTTAGTTCAAGAATAAGGAAAAAGTACTTCTTTACATACTTAAATATGTACGACCTGGTGATCAAAAAAAAAAAAATTTAAAACTTTTTACCACAATCGGTCGTTTCAGCCATTTTTATGTTTATTGGATACAAACGTTTTAAAACATACAAATCTATTTTAGATACATGTATAGTCTCAGTAGAAGTAAATATTTCCATTTACTGATAGTGCCGATTGAAGGATTCATATATCTAATTGGATAATGAGATAGATAGAAAGATAGATGTTACCGCCATACTATTTAACTATTGGTTCAGAATAAACAACAAACACGTGACTGAACCCTGATTGGATCAGGCGCTAATAGACCGGCATACAGGAATTCGTAAAAAAGTAATATAACCAAAATAAAATAAGATTTTTGAATTTTTCTCCAGGTTTATTTGGATCTGTATTCTGTAAAGACTTTCCGCAACATTTTCCAAAAAAAATCTTGATGATTTTTTATTGGACTTTACTTATGTTGGATTTTAGACGTTCTCCGGTATTATCATTATAAATTACTTTTTTACCGTGACTTATGAATTCCAAATATACGTGAAAAAAATTAAAAAAAAAAACAGAAGAAGAAAAAGAAATAAATTAAAATTTCACCAAACATCAAACATTTTTTCGTAGGTTTGGGGCTATGTTCACATTGCACAACTCCGTTAATGAACGGAAATATCCGTGTTGTTAACAGAAAATACTTTTTTTTGGTTGAAAATTGGATAATTTTATTTTAGTATTATGCAGAGTTAGCATTTTTTAATTCAAAACCAACAGATTTTTATCAGAAATTTGACAACGAACGGGAATTTTTAAAAACGTATTTTTTTACCTTTTCTAATTTAAGCATTTTTTTTTAAAGATTTACAAACTTGAAAAATAGTGAAATGGGTAAAGTTTGTATGGAAAGACCGTGTAATTTTCAACTTGTTTGTTAGACTTTAAAAAAAGTACCATTCTCCCCCACCCCTCCCTCCCATTTGCTGACCTGTATGTTAGTTCTTGTTGAGGTTTAGTTCTGAAGTGACCGAATACATGAGTATACCTCTCTTAAATACTCCAGAATATATATATTCATTTCCTCTTTCCTCCGTCATACACCGATACCACTTGCTCCCCTCCCCGCCCACCAACCCCCCCCCCTTTCACCAAACACCTCTTAATCAACCATCCAACCAGCTCTTTTGCCCAATACTCAAAAACTCACCTACTTCACCAACCTTTACCTAACCATTCCATCTCATTCATCTCATATAACCCCTCCCTTCCATACCTATTACCGTCCTCTCTCCCACCAACCCCCTTCCTCCCACTTATTTCCTGACTCCAGTGCAGGCAACACACTGCCATCCCTTCCCTTCACCCCTTACCTCTCTCCCCCCCTACCATCTACCCCCTACCTCTAATCTACCCCCCCCACTCCCACCTGTCCCCTACCTTTCACCTATCGAATGTTTGTCCAGCTATAGGTGGGTATATTATGACGTAGAGAGGGATGAATATTGGCTGTCAAACTATGGACATTACATTCAATACAAGATTTAGCAGCTGCAGTGAAATATATTGATCTTTTTAAAATTGAGTTTTGAAGAATCATATTATTGAGAAAGAACTAAAGATCACAAATACGAAAATGAGGGAAAACGAAACTGTACACAGGACCAAACAAGATTTTATGGATTAAATAGACATTAAAAACTTGCCAGAAACTAATTATAGGACCTTCTTTTTAAATTTAAACAGAGCTGGGAACTTTTGAATGGTGGACATCGGAATTTATGATTGATCTACTCTTTTTCTTAATCTCGAGATTAAATAATACTTGTTCTTGTACTTGTTATTAATCTCCAGATTAATAAACCAATCTGGATTAAGGATATATTTATATTATTTATGTTATTTGGTGAAAAGGTTGGATGGGAAAAGATGGTTTAGATAACAAACTATTATCAGCTAAAAAGAGGATTTTTCACAAAATCATTTAAGAAAAATAATTGAAAAAATAAAAAAAACATTTTTGGAATTAAGAAAAGAACAATGTTAATTTAAGAAAAAAGTGATCTTAGAGTCGAGAAGGTATTTACTGTTGAGGGTAAAAATATTACGTGTTTAAATATTTATTTTTCATCTGATAAAATTGCAGAATCTCGGTCCCCGATGAGATATTGACGCAGGGTAGAGAATATATGGACATGAAATTGCTCAAAAAAGTCAAAAACTGCCATTTTGTTTTATTGTTAGTATTTTTGATTTAATTTTTTCGAACATTCCTGGAAAATATGAAAATGTCGTCTTCATTATCAAAAATCCTCGAAACAGGAATAAACATTTTTAAAAGTAGCTACAGATAGGGATGTTAACGATTTCTTTTTTTTTTTGAAAAACAATCGTTTCGTTATAAAAAAGGCGACGAAAAATCTAAAACGAAACGATCGTTTTTTTTTTAAATTTCGTTTTTTAAGATGGTCGTTTTTAAAACTATCGTTTGAAAAATGATCGTTTTTGAAAAAGACCGTTTTTATAAAACTAGGTGTTTCGTTAACGACTACCCTTCGTTAACGATCGTTAACGACTACACTTCGTTAACGATCGTTAACGACGACCCTTCTTTAACGATCGTTAACGACGACCCTTCGTTAACGATCGTTAACGAAGAGAGGAAACCGACCTGAAGGGCATCTGTACTTATCATTGAGTAGTTTTTAAGAAAATATCAAGAAGTTTTAGATCCCCCACAACTCTTTCACTTCATGTAAGACGACATTCAATAAATTTGCATGACATTTTTTTCAAAAACGATCGTTTTTTTAAAAAAGACCGTTTTTATAAAGTTCGTCGTTTCGTTAACGATCGTTAACGACAACCCTTCGTTTTAAAAAAACAATCGTATAAAAAACGGTCACAAATCGTTTTCATAAAGTTTAAAATGAGTAAGTCGTTTTTTAAAACGATCGTTTTTTCCGAAAACGAAACGATCGTTTTACAAAACGATAGAAAAACGAAGTGCAAAAAAACCATCGTTTGACGATCGTTTTCAAAAACGATTAACAACCCTAACTACAGATCATAAAAAAAAAAATATGAAATATCAACTATATACGAATGTGTCGAAAAATTATCGATGATTATTGGTTGTGATATCTGAATGATTTGTTTGGAATTAAATTGATTTTTTGATGATCCGAGTTGAATGTTGCAACTTTCTGAATTTGTATGGACGCCACGTTCTTCAGCATGAGTCGTTTTTAACAATTTTCTCCTTATGGGTGCAACAGATACTAGTGAGATAAGTAGCTATAAAAAGCGCTTCTTTTTCGCCGTAAGCCTATAAGGCTATACCCACTCTCATTTTTCAAGAACATTCCCCTTAAAACCTCCTCCAGCTTAAAACCTCCAGCCTAAAATCTCCAGCTTAAAAACTCCTCTAGATTAAAACCTCCTCCAGCTTAAAACCTCCAGCTTAAAAACTAGAGCTTACAACCAACAGCTTAAAACCTTACAGCCTAAAACCTCCAGCTTAAAACCAACAGCTTAGAACCTACAGCCTTAAACCTACAGCTTAAAACCTCCTCCAGCTTAAAACATACAGCTTGAAACCTGCAGCTTAAAACCTCCTCCAGCTTAAGACCTACAGCTTAAAACTTCCTCCAGCTTAAAACATACAGCTTAAAACCTCCAGCTTAAAACCTCCTGTTTAAAACCTCCAGCTTAAAACCTACAGTTTAAAAACTACAGCTTAAAACCTGCAGCTAAAAACCTGCAGCTTAAAACCTACAGTCTAAAACCTGCAGCTTAAAACCTACAGCTTAAAACCTCCATTTATTCATGTAAAAAAGCTCTTCGCGCATATATTTATATGTTAGCTATATCTGGTCAAACTCAAATGGCTGGACCAAATTGGCTGATTTTTAGGGAAACCATGGGTACCCATGGGTGACATAGGCATTGAAAAATCGATTTTTTTCTTCTTTAAAATTTGAAATATTTATCTTCAAAGTTTTTTTTTAATTTCAGTATTCCGGACTTCTCAGATAGTCTCTAATATTACAAATTACTGGCGTGGTCCTTTAGTAGAATTAACAAGCTGACCCGTGGTCCTTTAGAAGAATTAACAAGCTGACCCGACAAAATGAAGAAATGAGTGCGGCACGAAGCTTTCTGAATTACTGGTGTGAATAGGGGCCAAGAATATTGATCATTTCCCAAAAGACCAATTTAGTTTCAATCCATCAAAAAATAACCCTCAATCCATATTGAATATTAACACTTGATTATCTTGTAGAGAATAAACTAGGCTAAATATTAGATTATCCGGGGCCTCCTGGGGTTAGAAGTTTATAGTAAAAAACTAGAATATAACTTTATAATATAATTAATCAAATACAGGGTGGCCCATTCTTTCAGATGTTCGTTACTTTATCAAAGGATTTTTCAAAAGTGGCAACTCCCCAAGGGTATATTTCCGATGATCAACTCCCCAAATGTGCAATTTCCAAAGCGGCAACTTCCAAAGATTGCCCTTGCCGCAGCGTTCGCCCCTAGCCTGTTCTAGCCGCAGCGCTAGGCCCCCATTGTAGCTTGTGGTATCTTAGAGGGTGTAACCGAAAGTTTGAGAAGTTGCCACTTGGGAAATTGTCATTTGGGAAAATGCCTTTATGGAAAGTACCTAACATTGTCTTATAGAGACTGGTCGATGTAAATTTAAATGATTCTCTATTTTTAGTGTAGTGTAGTGTATTAAGTGTTTAATTGTAATAATTCCTCCATTCTTTCTGCAGCAGAAATCTAGAAGTAACTTTTTCAAAGAAACAATCAATAATTTAAAACTCATATTTTCAAAAACTCCACTACCATGGTTTGTGGGACACCCTGTACAGTAATCATATCAGAAGAATAATTGCATTGCTTTCTCTTCTATTGTGCTGTCTGTAGCGTATAAGATATACGTATTCATTCGAAAATTAACCCTATTCCTGCTGGGGTGTCAAATTGACCCCCCCCCAGCATATCCTGGGTTTCAAGTACCCCAGCAGGGATAGGGTTAAAAATAAGATTAATGTTATCAGAGGCCGAATTTAAAGTATTTAAGCCGCGGCTCAAATACGGTTGGTTCGTATTCAATGTTTCAAGATTTAGGCCGGCGCTCAATTGAAACCGGTTTTTGGGGGATCCGAGATGCGGCTCAAATTCATTAAATTGGGACTCTTATAATTTATCTAATTCAGAATTTGGTCAACAATTTTTGAAGTAAAAGATATTAAATTGTAGAAATAATAAAACTTATATTTTCGGTGGATTGGAACTATATAATTTTTTCAAAAAAATACTAAAAGTTATCAGAACGAGATTTTTTCTTGGAATCATAAACTTAAATTTAAAAAATATCAGAAAAGTAAAATAAAGTAAATTTATTGGTTTAGGTTCAGATTTAGTTTAGAAACACGCAAGGGAGAGATAAGAAAGAATAGGGGGAGGGGGGTTCCAAATGTTGTTAACATTATTCACCAATAACCTATCGGAAATTAAGCCTTTATTGAAATGATCTTAACTTAAGCTTGCTTTGTGATTGATTTAATTTTTAGACTTTTTTATCGATCCCTAAAAAAACCCAGATAAATTTATGTTTTTTTTTTCATGAGGACTATATCATGGTTCAACACCGTTCAAGGCCGATTTAAATTGAAAAACATTTCCTATTAAAATGTATATTTTCAAAATTTTGGAAAGAATCAATGTTTGTAATAAAATCCACGAAATGTTCGGTTTTATGATTTACAAAATAAAAATGGCGGCGTAAATACAAGATGTAAAATTGTGCGCGAAGACCTTAAAAGCCTAATAATTTACCCCCGGTATATATAGGGTTTAAAGTTCTTCATGGATAGAGTTAAGATATGAAGAAACTAGAGAAGATTGGGATAGAACATTTCTTGAATAAATTTGTCCGTTGTTTTTCTTTTCACGTTTCCCCATAGGGATAGATGGAACGCATAGGGCGCTGGAAATGGGGGGGGG